ATATATATATATATATATATATATATATATATATATATATATATATATATATATATATATATATATATAAAGACTCCTCCTGCTAACTCAAACGAAAACGTTACTTAAGACAGAAATGCACTGCAGGTAATAAACTCGCACACGAAGACTGTGCTCGTAAAATCAAATATATAGGGGCATGTCATTTTTGGTTCATTGCACCTTACAGGTTAACAAAATAATACAAACAGGTAATGTAAAATTATGACAGATCAGGACACATAATTCAACAATGCATCTCTTTAAGTAAATGAATAGAGGCAGTGTATTGAAATTACAGTATTTCATAGAAAAACTAAGCTAATAATAATGTTCAGCAGGAACTCCGCTGAATTTGTGACACTCCTCTTCTACTCCGGGAATCATTACATGGCATGGAGTTACTTTTACGCTACGTCCTCCATAGAGTCTGTTGAACTCCAAGAGGATGTAGTTGATCATGAAGCACTTGTTTTAACACCCGTTTTAGAGCTGAGTGATGTATCCCTGCAGTGTAGACAGACACATTAACATGTGGAGCTCAAATGTTAACTTGCATGATTGTGCTAAAAAAAAACTATACAAGCAACCTTCGCTCCAATGTCTAGTGTGACAACTACGCGTGATAGGGACAAAAATATATATCAAGAGCAAGTTCATGATTCATGAGTACAGTGGCGTATTGTTCTTTTATCTGGGGTAGTGGTTACATCACTGCTAGAGCCAGAACACGGACACACAGGTCACTCCAGAAGACAGAAGAACAGAAGAGGAGAATAATGTCTGTCCTGAGAAAGATAAACCCAACGCTGCAAAGAATCTGCATCTGTGAGCAGGAGAACCTGGGGAGACGAGCCATGCAGATTACAAGGGAACTGAAGCAGGTGGGAGAGAGCTGTGCTGGTTATGCTGGTATTAGGGGGCAGTGAGGAGGAGGTCAGCTGGAGTCTCTGGTAGACAGACCAGTACACGAAGAGTCAAGGCCAGGTAAAAGGCTCTGAATACAGGACAGTGATATTATGTTTAAGCAGCAGATATATCAGTGTTACATTTATAATACAGCTGCACTTATAAGAGTGGGTTGGTGTGGTGGCTCAGTTGGTGGCACTATGGCCTCACACCTCTAGGACTGAGGCTCCCTGTGTCTGTGTGATTCTCTTCTGCCTCCTGCACTGAGCTTCCCGGAATGACCTCCTGGGTCACTGCAACCCTGCAGTGGAGAAGGGAATTTAAAACATAGATGCCCTGATGAATGTATAATAAGTAAACATACATAATAATTAATTTAATAGTCATGAACAATGTGTGACTCCAGTTCGGGAAGTTGATCCATTAGGTCCTGTCTAAGGACCTTCATTTGATGTTAGCTGTTAGTGTCTTGCCAGATCTCCCTTTTTCACCATTGTTTTTAGCTTAGCGTCATGCTTGTGAGCAACATGCCTTGCTAGAGTCACAGAAAGGTACTGGAGGCTCTACCTAATCTAACACTTAAACTTTCCTTAACTTCCATGATGAATTAATCCCTAAGAAACTCATCCCCAGGGACAGCCTGCTCTGCTTCTTCTGCAGACCACATTGTTAGAGCAGAAGCTCCCTGTTCTCAGTGTCGCTGGGTCTGATTCACGATGACACAACACTTCATGCTTCCTGACAAGTTTAGTACTATAGATCACTGATGCAAAAAGTATGAAAACATGGAAAAAAACTCATACCTCAATCAGATGCTGTCTGTTACACAGATGTGGCTTGACAAGCTCTTCGTGAAAATCAGGACCCAGTAGTAGAGACAAAACCATTGGTAGAACCATAACCTCGCTTCAGATACTGCAGTCGTGGCACAGACGTAACAATGAGAACTTCAGTCTGATCACACAATGATAAATCAGGAAAGGCCATCATACGCTTTCTCTGTACCCACAAAACATATTCCTTTCTTCTTTTATGTAATATTGTATCACATTATTTAGAGCAAATGAAAATTCTCCAATTAAAAAATTAAAATTTCTCATAGTAGCAAGTCTGTTCAAATTGGATAGAGAGGTAATTTTATCACTTAATGTAGCCTTTTACTTATAAAAGTACATTCAGCGTGACTTCTAAGAGTAACCTTCAGAATCATTTGTGCATACATTTTTGGTTGATATCTAACAATCTTGCTGGCTGGATGGTTATTGATTTTCCATGTTAACTGTTGTATGAGTTACAAGGAGTTACATTGCATTTTGAATAGGCTCATATTTGTGTCCCTAATTCTGGAAGGAACAGTGACACTGATTTGTACCCTTATAAACATTTCAGGTTTCGGGCAGACAGTTGTGGTTAATCTTTGCCAACGCTGCTACACATTTGCAGGAAGGTCACATTTTCAAAAGCAAATTACGTTTCTGGCAAACTCTTGGTGGACTTCTGGCTAACTTCATGGGAAACTAGGGTTCGTCGGCTAAGCCTTTATAAATCCAAAGATACAGAACACTTCTGATCAAACATAATACAGTTCATTTAATAAATATAGCTGAATTAAGCACAACAAAACCCAATGCGACAATGATACATTATAACATTTAATAATAATAATAATAATAATAATAATAATCATCATCACTTTATTAATCCCCGTGGGGAAATTGTCTTTTACGCCTCCCTCAACTTGCTCTCTGTAAGCAATCTGTCCGCGAAGGGCTGCCACCTATGGCAGCCCCCATTTTTAATCAGTGCACTACCAAATGAAAAACATTCTGTGACACACAATATCATTTACATTTCAATTTTAATTTATATTAAACTGCACGGAACATTTCTAAAACTTGTCTTTGAGCCACACTAAAAGATTCTAAAATAACCTTAAGTATAACAAATCACAGTTAGAGCTATTACAGATTGGTCATTCAAAAAATAGTGCAACAAATTAAATTAACATTCAACCTGCCTTTAAAATGCAGGCAAACCATATATGCATATGTCCATACTGTATATACTGTAATACTAAAAATCAAATCATATTAAACATATATAGCTCAATCAAAACAAATGTTTACCTTTAAGAGTAATGACAGTAATGAGTTTGTGATGCTGACTCACCATTTTTAAATTGATCTGTAGTGGCTTAGTTTGCAATATAACCAATGAGATGTTAGGTTTTGTTAAGAGCCTGCCCAATGAGATTGATGGGAGACTTTTACAGATCATTTTAATGGTTGCTGGTATCATTTAAGTTGTAATTTAAATAATAATTTAAGTGACATATTTATTTTTTGAATATTGTAAAAAATACCCTATATAGAAAGGCATTATAATGTACATTGTAAATGAAGGAAAACATTGAGATAATAAGGGAAAATAATAAAACAATTACACTGGAAAATTATGAATAATACCATTAACGCCAGGAATGCTATCTATGGCAAACTGTGGTGGTAGATTGGCTGACATGTTTGGCACTAATGGCAAACTATAGTGGTATACCACTGGTGAGCGTGTTTGCCAGTAGTGATAAACTTCTCATTATTGCCCAAATGTTACTAGAAGTTTACCGCTAGTGGCCAACGCTGGCAAACTCATGGCAACAGTTTTTAAGAAGCTAGTTTATTTACTGCAAATCAGCCCCACGTTTGCCACAAATCAGCCACAAACATTTCCCTTAATTAAGGGTATTTCCAGTTTATTTCTGTATTGCTATGTATCCAATGCGCTGTTGTTTGTGTATGATTGGGGACAAATTACTGAAAAATATAGAAAAATGACACAGTAAACATCTGTGGTATTTGGGGGAAAGTTGTGCAGGAAGATTACTGCATCGCTTTGGAACAAAAAGGAAAACGAAAAAAACTACTGATTGTAACTTAATCCTCTGGCTGCCGTGTTGTTTGAAGGGGGTGAAAAAGCCATATAAGGAGCTGGTTGACGTTTCCATAGGTGACGCCCACAGAGGGGGAATGAAACCAATAACCTTTGTCCGACAGGTAAGTTCATACTCACGCCGATCTCTGTCCTGTTTTACTGGCAACTAATATTAAATCTTCCATGTTTTCTTGGCAAGACACAATCTGCCTATGTTACATTGCATTGTCTTGTTTACTTCTGAGTAAACAAAAAAATCATGACTTGTCTCTTCTTGTGTATTTTGTAACAAAATGGTACCTTATTGTTACCAGTTTTCCTATCTATTGGTCTCTCTCTCTCTGTGATTCCCGTCACTCAGTCCATGTCCCTAACACCCACGTCTCAGTTCAGTCTGTGTCTTCTGTATCGATCAGGTCATTGCTGCCTGTATTTACCCTGAACTCCTGCACGATAGCGCCCTTCCAGCTGATGTCAAGGAGAGAGCCTGGAGACTTATGAGGGAGTGTGACGGAGGGAGTGTAGGTAATTGAAAACAGCTCTGTGTATTTGTACTGTAATGCATTCGTAAAGTATTATAAATAGGACTATAACTATTTATAAAAAGGCATAACACATTATAACCATGTGTATTATGCATTATGGTCTATGAAGCTCTTATCTATAATGCACTACAGATACCTTCATAATGCATTATAAATGTCAGTATAAGAATTAAGGATGCTTTGTACTGCCTTAGGAAGGTATTTATAGTGAATTACAGATGAGAACTTCATAGAGCATTCACAATGCATAATGAACATGGCTAAAATGTGTTATGCCTTTCTGTAAATAGCTATTGCCATGTCAATAATACTTTATGAATGCATTATAATGCATTCTGTAGGTATCTATAATGCATTATAAATGGGTGCTTTAAGTAAAGAGTTACCCTTTATTCTCCAGTGCTCTTGGAGCTGGAATGATTTTTTCTGTGATAATGTATAAATGTATGACCACACGTGTGTTCAGGCTCATACACCGAAGCGTGTGGCATCCCCTATGTGAAGAGCAGCGTTTCCGACTTCATCACACGGAGAGACGGGGGAGTGCCTGCATCCCCAGAGAACATTTTAATCTCGTCCGGCTCTCAGACTGCGCTCATGGTAAGATAAGATGAGATCTACTTTATCTCAGGTGGGAAATTCTTGTGCGTACAGCAGCACTGATACAGTCCACAGATACAGACATACAGTCAGACAAGACAGCATAGCAGAGGGAAATGTAAAGAGTGCAGAGTGCGAATGGAATATCCAGGAAAATCATACTGAGGAAATAAATATAAATGACAACTTTACGTTGTGGGCATGATAACAGTATATTACTAGGACCGCCCCAACACCCCCTCCCCTCCAGCTAATCCCTACTCCTCCCACACCCCCCAACCCCCAACCTCTATCTCTAGCCCACTCTAGGGTTGGTCCTTATCTAATTTTTCACACTCTCACACTGTCCATACACCAGATCATACATCATATCAAATGAACCTTTAGCCCCCCCCCCCCAAAAAAAAAGCCACCCACCAAAGACCCAAGGACACTGCCTGTGATATTCATTCATTCATTCATTTATTTAAAATAAAGATGTTTACCATAAAATAAAATGCGCCTTGAATATTTAACGTTTCAGCTTCATTTGGTGTCAGATTACATAATACCGCTTACCCAGTCAACAAGTTTTGGCAAATTCCTAATTTCTTATGTCTAAAAAGTAAAGAAAATGGCAATTATTCTCTACAAGTTTCGTTTTGCGACCAAGACAGTAGTTTTGAAATTTTCCCATTTGAAATACAAAAGCAGATGATTTTTCATCTTTTCATTTACAATAAGTCAGAAAAAAAAGAATATTTGAATAAAAAAGTTACCATGCATTTACACTACAGTTATAGAAAGACGACCACAAAAGATTTAGAAGTGCGTAGTTTTTTGAGATTCATGACCGTATTATAAATCATATTTATGAATGAACCCCTGAATGTGCCCTCCCATCATGTTCTCCTTGAACTGCTCTTGGTAGCGGCCTTCAAAGCCTAACATATCCCAGTGGAAGTGCCATGTTCTTCTCGCATTTATCAAGATGAGCATCAAGGATATGGACTTTGAGGGACATCATGCCGCCCACTTTGCTATAGCTCTCCACTTGACTTCAAACCAGCTCCACATGTTCCTCAGACTTCTGATCGCCCAGGAGGCCCCAAAACCACTGTGACAAGGCTGTTCCAAGCCACTTGGGGAGTTACTGGCAGCTGGAACTAAACTGAATTGGTGGGCTTAAGGAGCCTGTATTTTTAGTACTGTTTGCAATTACTACAAAGTTCTCAAAGGTTCTATAAGTTACTCCATATAACTAATCCATATAACTTATAAGTTACTCCATATAACTATCCTTATAACTAAAGTCTAGACAGCACTTTCTATCTGAAATGTTCTAGAAAGTAGATGAATCTCAAAATATTACTTTTCTGGTCACAAGTTTGTGGGGAAAAACCATTTTCTGTACGTTTGAGGCATAAGCAGTTTGGAAATAACACTTATTACCCAGGAAAAAAGACAGACAGACAGACAGGCAGACAGACAGGCAGATAGACAGACAGACAGACAGGCAGATAGACAGACAGACAGACAGGCAGATAGACAAACAGACAGACAGATAAAATTTGTTACTCGGTGCCTTTGATGAAAGTGACTTTCTTTGGTTTTTTTGCTCCCCTCATTTCTTTTTGCTGCCCTGCGCAGTTTGTCCTTAGTCTGCTGGTCCATGGAGAGGGATCGGCTCAGACGGGCGTGGCATTCCCAGTGCCCACCTACAGCTCCTTCGCCATGGCACTGGATGAGCTGGGGGCAGAGATGGTGCCTTATTACCTGTGTGAGGAGGAGGGCTGGGCACTGAGAGTGGAGGAGCTGCGGAGAGCTGTGCGGGCAAGCGGACTTCACTGCACCCCCAGAGTGCTGTACGTCATTAACCCCAGCAATCCCACAGGTACTGAAGCTGGATACCGTCTGAAGCTGCTCTGCATTTAACTTCTGCTCTTACTTAATCAAAAAGTAACCTGACATTCCACACAGTGCATACTAGCTGCTTATGATTTTCACTGAAAATACTAAACCTCAGAAGATTCCGATATAGTTAGTAACACGTCACTCCGAACTCATAAACTTTATTGCCTTGTTTTTAAAATTCAAGGTAACGTTCAGAGCAGGAAGATAATTGAAGAAGTAATTCGATTTGCGGCTGAGGAGAAGCTCGTCATCATGGCTGATGAGGTAAACATTGAACTATTGAGTTACTTGTTATGTGGGGATACTGTATCTTTATGCGTAATTGTGAAGTTGTCTGGATGTACTGATCGCTGTGTTTTATGCATGACGCAGCATTATAAATTAGATTCTGCTTCCTTGTCCCACTACTCAGGTGTACCAGGACACTGTGCATGAGGAGGGCATTGATTTTGTGTCCTATAAGAGAGTGCTGTTTGAGCTGGGGCCCCCATACTCTGAGAGTGTACAGCTGGCCTCTTTCCACTCCGTGTCCAAGGGTTTCATGGGAGAGTGAGTACTAGATATATCTGGACTGGTATCGTTCCCAGTGGGTATGTCCATGGGTCCAGCGATGAGTCATTGCAGTAATGGTGGTAGCTGTATGATGTAGCATCTAAATGTGCAGATGGTTCTGAGTAGACTCTGATCCACTTCACTATTTAGATGTAGTCTTTACCATACACAGTCCTGTGCCTGTAAGATGGTATGGCTTTTAATCTTTTGTATTGTTGTCCGCATCTGTGTTGTTATACAGGATATTCAAAATTTACAAAATTGGGTGAGTTCATTTTGCGCCAAAAGTACTAAACAAAATTTTGAAAACCTCAAGCTAATTATTACATGAATGAAACAATTGCAGGTGCAATTCCATGATAGCAATGCAATTCCAGACCCTTCCGCCATGTTGCGATTCCCTGAAGCATCATGGAGTGGGTGTGCTCAGATGGTGAAAGGAGTTTTTTGCTCCAAATCCCAGATGACCAATAGACCTGTAAGGTGTCCCCCCCCCCATCTAAGAGCTGCCTGCCTGCTAAAGAAGTGCCAAAAATCAGGAGCAAAAAAAACATATTCCAAAAGCAAAACAAAAAAGAGAAGAAGGAAGATTTAATTCAATTTTTTTATTTGCAATTTATATTTTCATTCTATTTAATAATTTGCTTGCGGTTTTCAAAATTTTGTTGAATAATTTGGCACGAAATTAATCTACACCCTATCGCCATAAAACATGAGTTATCAAAAACATGTAGAAACAGCATAAGTTCAAATCAGAAAGATAAATGATGCCATAACAAGCCGAGAAAAAGCATATTGGTGCTACTAAAAGGAAACAGCATTTAATTAACTGCACTATATGTAAACTATTGGGGCAAACGTTTTGGGACACATTCAGACCCATTGCCACAGGTGTATGAAATCAACAACCAGGCCATGCAGTCAGGTTTACAAACATTTCTGAAAGAATGGGTCATTCTGGAGAGCTCAGTGAATTCAAGTGTGGTGCTGTCATTGTCAACAGTAAGTGGCGTTATTGCAAAGGGGAAGTGTTTAGGAACAACAGAAACTCAGCCACGAAGTGACAGACCATCTAAAATAACAGTGGGGTTGCCGAGTGCTGCTGCATATAGGGTGTGAAAGTTGCTAATGATCTGGTGACTCAGTAACTGCAGAGATCCAAACTTCCTCTGACATTAACTCCAGCACAGAAACTGTGCACTGGGAGCTTCATGGAATGGGCTTCCATGGCCGAGCAGCTGCATGCAAGCCTCACATCACCAAGTGCAATGCCAAGCGTCGGATGGAGTGGAGTAAAGCACACTGCCACTGGGCTCTGGAGCAGTGGGAATGTGTTCTGTGGAGTGACGAATCACAGTACTCTATATGGCATTATGATGGATGAGTCTGGGTTTGGCCGATGCCAGTAGATGTTACCTGCCTGACTGCATTGTGCCAAATGTAAAGTTTGCTGGGGGAGGGATAATGGCATGGGGGTGTTTTTCAGGGTTGGGCTAGATGCTTTAGCTTTAGTGTACCAAGTCATTTTGGACAATTCTATGAGAGCCAGGTTGGGAAACACTAGTTTAACTCTTACATGCTCCTATAATAATTACGTTACCATGAGAATTCACCTGACATGGGTAGTTGTAAGAGTTAAGACATCATGGGCATATATCTCTCTCCACAGATGTGGCCTTCGCAGTGGTTATGTAGAGCTGGTTAACCTGGACCCTGCTGTTATGGAGCAGGCCTGTAAGTGGTTGTCTGCAGGGTCATGCTCAGCTGTGACTGGTCAGATAGCGCTGAACATTATGGTCGATCCTCCACGACCAGGAGATCCGTCCTACACAATGTACAGCCAGGTGATCATTCTTCTTCTCCAATATAAAAGAATCAATAAATCAAGCGATCAAAGATACTAGATCTGATATTCTTCATTTTGCATCTTTCATATGAAAGAAACCAATTTTGATGTACAAGTCTGCGCATCGTGATCTTATGTTTCATCCGCAAGGAGGTGAAATTCAAAAAGGACACCCTCACCTGTAATGTGCGTCGAGTCCAGGAGGTCTTGGAGGATATTCCGGGGTTCACCTGTCAAGCTGTGGGAGGGGGTTTCTATGCCTTCCCCCGCTTACACCTCCCCCAAAGAGCTGTGCAGCGGGCCAAGGTCAGAATCGCATTTCTTAGGAGACTGACATAGAGGATATCAACTATGACATCATTTTCAAATTAATTTCATGAAACTTACTCCTTTTCTTCTTAATAACAATCCTGGTCCTTTCTGCTAGTCTTACGTTTCTGTTTATTAAGACAGTAGGGCTGCATGATGTCATTTGGCATGTAGCGCATGCGCAGTAATCACCAGGGCTTCAGATGATATGGACGTTCACAGAGTACTTTTCATTATTATATGGATGTTTACTTAGGCCCACAATTTGGTAAGCAGATTAGTAGTGCACCTAAAACATTGATGAGTTGTATTATTGAGCTGTCCCTTTCTCCGCCACCACTTCAGTCCGTATGGCTTCCATAATATACCAAATCGGAAGCATGTGGCGTGCTCTTCTAGTCAAACTTAAACATATAATATGCTGAATTTACACAGATTACTACATTTTTTATGCCCAAATTGTGGGTATAAATAAACGTCCGTATAGTACTGAAAAGCTGGCATCCGGAAAAATGTTTACATTCATCATCTATAGCCATGCTCGTTATTGCACATAAGCCGTATAATAGAGATCAGCTGAAACTAAAAGATCCAACCTTCAGGAGTTAGGCTTGGAGGCTGATCTGCTGTACTGCACCAGGCTGCTGGAGGAAGAAGGGGTGTGTCTGGAAGCAGGCAGCTCGCTTGGCCAAAAGGAGGGCACTCACCACATCAGGTATCCACATCAGGCATCCACATCACCAGCACATCTCCCAGGCTGAATGGCTGACTCATGCTAAATCTCTTCTGTCTCCACATCCAGACTCTGTCTTATGACCTCAACTAAGACACTGGAGATGGTGCTGAAACGTCTGAAGAGGTTCCACCTCCGGTTCCTCAAAGAGTTTGCTTGACTGGAATCGGAAAGACAAGCCTATGCTGTAATCCAGGGCTCTTCAAATCTGGACCTCGATTCCAAATCCAGGCCTTGTTTTCAGTTCTCCCAGGTAGTTAGTTAAATGATTACTGATTGGTCAGAGGCTTCACACCTGGCTCACAGGTAAAGGAAGGCTGGAAAACCAGCAGTGTTCAGACCTCGAGGACCGTGATTTGAATAACCCTGCTGTAGTCAGATCAGTTTATACCATCTGTACGCTTGTGTGATTTGAATAAAATGAGTATGTATTGCAGTCATTTGTTTTACTGCAAAGTAAGCACTGCACATCGGTCTATGTTAGACTACCTATGTTGTCAATAATTGTTCACACACAAATGCTTATTGCATCACAGTCTAAATTCAGAAATTATTCAAGGTCATTGTATGAGACTTACTGCTGATGATTCAGGATTCATCTGCAACCACTAGGAAAATAATCGTTCAAAAGTATGACAAGCTATCGGTCTCAGCTACAAATCCTGTGCCCAGGTGAGTCTCATAAATGGCTGTGCGCATAAAGATATGTAAACATCACGTTGGTTAAAAGTCACATTTTCAAATTGTGTTATATTGTGAGATAAAAACATTGAAGGAGCAGCAGACTGGGAGAGTATGAGGCAGAGCTAATGGCTACTTTGTCTCTAATGCTACTTTGATGTATCAGTTTCTGTAGAAAATAGTCTGGGACGTTTTCCTCTCACTGCCTAATAGTAGCCTTAAATAGACACGCGATACCGATTCCCTGTTCCTGCTTACTCTTCCTATCCCAGAAGGCAGCATTTGCTTGACTAACTGCAAAATGAACATTTACACTTATTTATATTCAAATGACGTGCAAACATCCACCTGTATACATGTAATTAAAATGACACCACTGATGGTGTGTCCTTACTTCTTCCACAGTGCTGTATAATACTGCTCACTCCAGTTTTTATTTTTAGGATTAAATAAATGTTCAAAAGAAACATTTTCACCATGTACATTTTAAAGCCACCCACTGCATGTTCAGGAAGCAGAACAAGTAGGACCCTAATGCCCTAAGCATCCTGTGACAGGCACCAGGTTTACAACATCTCCACACTGGACGTTAGGAAGATGGATGGTTACTGTACGGATGCACTTGGCAGTCAAATACTGGCATCTCACTCAAGAGGACACACCCCTCAATCCTTACTGCAATGGTACAATATGGATGAAAGCATCTGCTGCCAAACTAGCCTGTATTTCCGTGACTTCAACCATAACCTGCTCACTCCCAAATATTGCCAGTGTGCTGAGGAGGAATAGGTCAAGTTTCCTCAGGAATAACAGCGCTATGGTTTCCCCTCGAATCAGGCAGCTACAGACGAGCAAGAACATTCGCTGCCAAACAAGTGACTGCTGATTATAGAAGAAAGTTCACGGAGTGCTTCAGCTGAGGCTCTGCAGAGGGATTTTCCGTCGTCAGCACCGACACCCTCACACTTTGATAAGGCGCACAGATAGGTATCAGTACAGGACACCCATAGTCCTGTGGCGAGTCGGGTCACTGTTAATGTTTCATATGCCGTCCTTTTACCACTGAAACAATGAAGCTACTTTGAGAAGACGGCAAGCGAGATCCAGAAGGCCAAACATCAACACCAAAGGAGAACAATTACAAATCTACAATACAAAGCAAACATTACATATAATAGGCACGTTTGAGCAATAGTGTCATTATGTCTGTTTATTTGTGTGTGTTTTTAACAAACCTGAAAGACCCGTCTGTTTAGGATTTCAAATTCTAAATAATGACTGCAGTAGATTCACAATGCTTGTTCATTCCCTAACAATACATAATATAGTTTATTATATATGTATTACTCTTTAAATATATGAACCAGTTTGAGTACCAAAAAAACAGAACAGTCCATAAACAAAAATGTACTTTCAGTCTTTGTAAAGTGCATTGACACAGGAACCAGGCATTTTAACATTGTGTTAAAGAGGTGAAAACCCAAAAACGAACTGGATACTTTCCTCCAGAGCAGTACAATGTTAGGTTTTCAGTCTTTCAGCTACTGGCTGAAACATCCCCTGGCGCAGGGGAAGTGATGCAGACCTACATCATTAGGGAAGCAGACCACTGCAGAACAGGGATAAGGATTGGCTCCGGGACACTGGTAGGAAAACTACAGGATGTAGGGCTTACTCCGTTTCACTATCCACATCACTGTCACTGTTCACGTCACCATCAACATCACTGGCCACATCACATCTTAAAGAGCTGGCCTGCTGCTCAGTGTTGTTCAGCAGATCCACCAGTAGGCTGATGAGTGCGGCGTCCTGGACCCGGGAGGGCGCCCCCTGCAGGCCACGCTGGACCATGGCACGTAGAGCAATGCGTAGGTCCCACAGCTGCTCCCACATGTGCGTCGGGAGGTCGAAACGTGCCAGTGAGTGGCCATCCAGAGAAAGCTCCACGCGCTCTCCGAAAACTGGGGTAGACACAAAGGTCATGAGTGGCTGAAGGTACGATGAGTGGCATTATACAAGACCAGCAACAACTGGAGGGTTCTGTAAATTACGCAAATATGGCATTTGACACCACGGATATGAAGCTATAGTCCTCATTTTTTAAATGATTTGGTTCAAAGGTCTACATGCCTAGCCTTTATGCCATCCTGTTCAGAAATATCCACGATTGACCGGAATTGTCTGGAAAAGTGCGAGCTCAGATGTAGCTGAAATAGGGCGCTGAGATAGTCCATGTCAGGAAGGACACTGAGCTACTTCAGGTTTTACAAACTACTTTAAATTTGAAAGGCTCCTGAGCTTCGCTAAATAGTTCAGTTCTTCTTGTGCTTTGGCTGGTTTGTTTCCTTGATTGAAAGACTCATCCACCCATGCATTAGTGACACATGCATGATTGGAATAGACCGACCAATCAGCACACAGCAAGAACTCAGTGCTCAAGTACAATCCATGTCATTTTAATTGAAACAGTAGTTTACAAATCCTGTCCTAGCTCAAAGTGGCTTCTCTGGCTTGGATTATCTGGTCCCCCTAACTGAGACGGGGACGGTACAGTTTATGACACACCTCTTTCTATGACATCACAGTCGGTCAGCAACAGCAGAGCCAGGGGGTGGATGCAGGAGGAGTCTCTGACGAACACTTTGCCGTTTGATTGGACAGCAGTGAAGAAGGTCAGCCAACGGCTGGGGAGCCGCTCCTTCCTCCTGCACCAGGCATAGATGGACAGGCGCAAACATGTCAAGTCAGGGCCCTGTAATCATTCCTGAATACTCACTCTATTCCCCTCCGACATGCTGCATTTCCATAGGAGGTGGGGGAATTAAAATACCAATTCAGTTATAAATCACGAAACTTCAACCCTTTTTACCTTCATTGCTGTTGCAATACACCACGTCACTAGTCACAAGTACCAGCGAAAAACTGGCCATCAACCCGACCATACATATACAAACATCACATTATAGGGGGTAGACAGGTCAGGAAGACGGGGGATACAGGAAGAAGAGAGAAAACAGAATTACGTGAGGAGAGAGGAGGAGAATAAAAAAAACAGCCCCCAAACTGTACTCCAGTATGGAGTACAATGTAGGAACAGAAAAAAACACCTCAGCAATAAGCACATGGTCACTACACCTTACAACATAAAAGTCGTGACTTGCAATAGGGGAGGGAAATGGAGAAGTGTAGGTAGTCCAGCATAGACAAACAGCCATCCGGTCCTGCAGCCATAGAGGCTGGTCACAGACCCGCCTGTTCACAGACCCGCCTGTTCACAGACCCGCCTGTTCACAGACCCGCCTGTTCACGCTGGGGGTATGAAGCGGCGAAGGCGTGGGATGGGGGGAGGGTGCAGTGAGTATATGTGTGTGTATCCAGCTGGTAGAGTTAAAAATAGATTTTTTTAAATAGCAGTTGAAATGGAGGTTACTGTAATTACATTGGTCACATCTGTTACTGCTTTTTATCCATTTGCCCAGTTGCACAAGGACTGATTGTGTTAAGGGACTGACAGGCACGAGTCGGGCACAGTGCAATCGGGGTTGTGCAGACACTTTCCAGTTTGGGGGAACTTTGGATTCTATAAAGTAAAGACATGAGTACGACAATATGTAACATTTCCCATGGTAAAGTTAAATGTTGCGGTAATACCATTAACATTCGCGTGCATCACCACATCTGCAAGGCAACAACCCAGGACAACTTCAAAGCACCCCCCCAAGCAAGAATGACAAAGCTAAACAGACAATGAAGCTCACTGTCACTGACATTCTGTACAGAATTCCACTTTCGTTTATTTAATCTGTAACTAAGACATTAAGACTTTTCAGTTCACAATTTCAATTGCTTGTTCTCAGTAGCAAAAATACCCTAAATGTGGACTTTGGTTTGCATATCATGTGCCACGTTTTTAATTCCGATTCCTTATTTGCTAAAAAGCTGCTACTGCTGTAGATAATGGAGATTGTACTGAATGGTTTTATGTTCATCTATTTGTTTGAAGGTTTATTTGTTGGGGGTGCACTCTCAGACCAGGGCTTGTGTCTCAGCCTTCACTCTAAGCGTGTAGAGTTTGCATGTTCTCCCCGTGTCATCGTGGGGTTTCCCCACCATAGTCCAGAAACATGCCAAGGTGAACTGGAGCTACCAAATTGGCCATAGGTGTGCATGTGTGTATGGTTTGTGTGTTTGTGTATGATTAAGGTTAGGGCTGGGTAGGGGTTAAGGATGTCATTTTTGGGATTAGGGTTATGCCCACAGAAATTAATGGAGTGCCCCCATAAACATGTGTGCCCCCTTCTGAGGTGTTGGCACTCCAATGGACGGATACATGTGTTTATTTGTTGAGAACTCAATAAAGGCTCTTTAATGTAATAAGGTATGGTCTTAATTTCTCTCGAGTGTCAGGTCTACATTTAAAATAATGTTAAAAGCAACAGGCATTAAGTTTAACTTTCCAGCAAAGTTCACCGCCCCCATCTTCAGATTTAACCTGCTGGCTTTTTAAAACTCAGTGACGAACTCAGTCACAGATGCGGTTATTCATTGTACAGTAGATTTGCATTTATTTATTTAGCAGAGACTTTTACCCAAAGCAATGAATAACCGAGAGCGCAGGGGCCAGACGTGTCTGGAGGTAACAGGATTTGGTTAATAGGGCCTTGCTCAACCACTCTAGTAACCAAACAAAATACAAGAGTTTTTGCATTTTTAGTGTTTTCATTGCAGTCACTGATTTTTACAAAATAAAGTTCCCCAATATTCCCAAGATCATGTTGTGGGGATATTAGGTCCTCACAAGGTAAGATATACCTGGACCAGATAGATTAGATTAGATTAGGACAGACAGACAGTTTAAATATTTCATATAATATAATTTTCATTTGTGCCTGACCTGTTGACCGTGGAGCGGTGCAGGAGGACGGCCCCACTGCGCGTTCGGTACGCCAGGCTGCCGGGTCGGAAACGCCCTTTCACAACCTTACCCCGTTTCACCTGGACAGCACAGAGGAGGACAGCTGCAGTCAAATGCAGGCAATGTGCACCAAACACAGAACGCTATATTAGAACAATGGGTGCCGTCTATAAAGCTGGAGCTATTGGTCTGTAGAGATTATTAAAACTGTGTGAAAAGTGCAGACCGAGTAGCTCTGTGTGGAAAGACAGATCACATAATATCTGTATGTGTTTCTGTAAGTCAGGGCTTAATCAGGCCCTTCAGTACCGTGTCAGTATTAGATTCAGCTTAGCTTCAACATAGCCGACTCTAATACTGAGATATTACTGAAGGGCCTGATTATCTGCATCAGGTGTGTTAAATTAGGGGTCTGCAGGGTGGCAGATCTCCGTACTGATGTGTATGGAGTATTAAGGACAAAATACCTGTATGAGATTGGGGTAAAGGCCAGTGAGCAGCATAGCCTTAACCAATTCATCCTCATGGCTGTACTGGTTAAGCCGGGAAAACTGGTCCAGGCAGTCCATAGCACGGGGGACCAATGACGCCTCATAGAGGTTCTCGCTAAACTGCTGAATGAGCCCTGGGGAGGGTGGAATTAAAAATCCCATGTTTACCAAAGGGAGGGGGAGAGAGAGAGAGAGAGAGAGAGAGAATGGAGAAAAATAGCTTTGGCTCCCCCACCATGTATGAAGCGCAAGCCGGGGCCCGATAGCAGGTGACTGTCCAGAAAGTCCTGCCTCTGGGCACGGTCACGCTGCGTCTCCCTCCAGCCCTGCACCACGCGGCCCAGCATCAGGTGGTCACTGTAACTCGAGCCGCTGAGCTGCGCTCGTGCCTGGGGGGGGGGAATCGAAGAGAAACGACCGGCCAAGTCGACTCAGGCACTGACCTCAACGGTAGCACATCCTCAAAGGTCTGCCTCAGCACGGTTCCATCCACCGAACCGCGAGTATTAAAGGGAATGCAAACCGGTTCTCGGTGCTGACCTGAATAACCGCGGCTCGATTCTGCAGGCTGTTGACAAACGGGTCTCGTGTGAGGCAGGCCGTGACGGACAGGAGGGGCAGAACGCAGCGGAAGAGAGAAGCCAAGACCAGGACCTTCCCGAGCCGTGGGTCGCATGAAAGTAGGGTGACGCGCTGCCCCAATGGGGTCAGAGACTCCGACTGGTCCAGGACCCCTACAGCCCAACAAGAATTTCCAAAATAACGACCAATTAACAGAGTCCCGAGTCACGTGACACAATATTTCAAACTGTATGTTCTATTGAACATTTCAACCAGTCCAGTTAATAAAACAGGACGGCCGAAGTATTCTCTATTTCTCTTCCATAAAGCCCTTCTTCAAGAGTGAAGCAGCATGTGAAGATGTGCATTAGTGCCATACCAATCTCCTGCAGGATGGACACAGCATCCTTGACCGCTGCTTCATCTGGACAGTCCAGAACCTGAGACAAGAAGTCCACAGCCTTGGGGGGGGACAGGCAGAGGGACAGCGTCCGTGAGGCAGCACATGTAAACAGAAGAGCATTACGTTCAGGGAAAGCAGGTCTCACACTCAAAATCACTACTTCCTGCCCTTGTCTTCTGTCGTTTCAGACTGAGCCTCTACACGAGGCACTTTTGGAATTAGGAATCGATCCATAGTGGACACTCTTCTTCTGTGGTTAACTAGAAAACTAGCTAGAGAGAGACAAACTCATGGCAAAGTGTCAGTCAAGGTCAGAGGTGATGCGTGACGTCACAGTGCTTTTGCTATGGTCATTTTGCTTGGAGTTAAAGCACCACCAAGCTCGACCCCGTTTCATTTACTTATTTAGCCGATGCTATTATTCAAGGTGACGTACAATTGAGAAAGCAGCCTTAGAAAAATTGGTCCTTAGAGAAATTGAGAGCTCAAGGGCCCAACCAGGAAATCATTCTGTGGAACATGGGATTTGAACCAGCAACGTTCTGTTCATGGGTACCAAGTTCTAACAATTCTTAACCCGCTAAGCCACACATCATCCCATGGACCAGGGTATGATCCAATGATTTTACTCAATCATTCAATCAAACAGAACAATCCATCACTTCACCTTCGTCTCTGGACTGTGTATCTTAGCCTGCACCACTAGGTTTTCAAGAGGGGTACGCAGGATCTCTGGAATGGGAAAAGTCTCCATGCTTTCCATCCGTTGCCGTGGAAACAAGTGATAGGCGTGGCCAGGCTGGCATCGACCGGCCCGTCCTCTGCGCTGGATGACGTTCGATCGCGACACCCAGACGGTGTCTAGACAGGAGACCTGGTGTTGGGGAAATCACACGCCTCAGTTAGCCTCATACACACACGTGTACCTCCCACACGCGTCACGTTTGCACTTTTATGGGCGTACGAGCAGCCCCGCTTGCATGCCTTGGTCCGCGGGTCGTATCGCTGCTCTTTGTGAGTGCCGGTGTCCACCACGTGCACGATGTCGTTGATGGTGATGGACGTTTCTGCGATGTTTGTGGCCAGGACGATCTTACGCTGGCCTGATGGTGGCCGCTGGAACACGGCCTGTTGCTCGGACACGGGCAGGCTGGAGTGCACTGCGCGGCGACGAGGGGGGGTGGGAGATTATGCGGAGCTGATTCAGGGAGGCTGCAGAGACTGGTTGACCAGCCCTTCGTAACTTCACAATAAAGTTAAGGCAGCATACAAAGCATTATAAGGAGTATTTCACACATTGGTAATCCCCGCCATCTCAGAAATGGCTTCACCTCTCTGCTGACGTGTAACACTGCATTATGTAACAATAATCACTTCTCAAAGAACCTCGTCAGCAGTTTCCACGACGACAGATAACCGAGCCTGATGATGCTGCACTGACCAAACTGTTCACAGCACCAAGTAACAATTTTAGTTACTCTTCACATGTTCAAATTAAGAGCCAATGGAGGTTAAGAGGCAGGTCAGATTACGGATTATCAGAAGGTGACGAGTGCAGCGAGAAGGCAGAGGGGTTCCTCTATTAACTGCCGATATGTAAATGAGTTACAGGCCAGCGGGGAGATGCACTCACGCGGCAGAAGGAGCGCGCTGCTCTTCACTGAGGGCCTCCTCTCCAGTCGCTCCTGCACTCCTCGGATGTCCTGCCAGCCCGGGAGGAAGCACAGCACAGCACCTGGGGGAGGAGGAGGGCCACACAGTCATGCCACGGCCTTGTGGGTAAAGAGGGCACCAGACCACAGCAAGACGGAGGCAGCAGTCACCGGGCTCTCCACGCCTGTGGATGTGTTCTATCACGTCAACCACCAGGTCCAAGTCCGGCATGGTGTCCTCCTCCTGAAACACATGGATGATGATCGACCAGAGAAGGTCATTACCACCAACGACAATACGCCAGACTATAAGCACCATACTATATCACACCACGCCACACACGCCAAATGTCATAGCCCTCTATATGTGCTGGTTCCACATTGACGGCACCAATGAGCATCAATTCCTTTAACGGCTAAGCAAGACATAGTTTGGCGTAAACAGCCCTTTTGTTTGCGCAAAAGTCCCGTTAGTGTTAATAACAGCAGCGAATCGAACACCCTCAACCAAAACGCCGTAATGTTCCTAACAGAGTGGCTGCTCGGTCCTGAAATCCTACAGCTGAAAAGTTTTCAAACAGGACTTTATAAAACGTTGGATAAATAGACATAGTTTATTGCCGCCTTCATGTTCGTCAAAGTTTACGTTATTTAACAACTGTATAAAGTTTTTTCTTGTACAAATCAACTCGGGTGAAACAAAAAAAAATTACGTTTTCCGGGTTGCTAACTCTCACGCAGGAAATCTTATGGCAAAACTATATTATTTCATTATAAACCTAAAATTTGCTACACCAAAAGCATTAGGATATTTCTATAATCTCCATAGACTACAAGGTAATGAAACTTACATTCATGTAAATGTGTGTGCAGACTTGTCTCAAATTCAAAATCTCACTCCAGACAAAAGTTAACAACCCTGCATTATATTTGAATAAAATGCACTGTTTTCAGCCGAAACGGCTGGTCATTCCCTTTCCGTCGTTACTCCAACAATTATAAAACAAAAATAAGATAACGTGTATTTTATTGCACTTGTTGGATGTTTTCAAAATAAAACTGCCCATACCCAACTGTGATATCAATTAATGTGTAATTAATACATTATAAAACCATCCTTTTAATTTAGGTAAAGGGATAGGACACACTGATCCTCTAAAAACTTGGAAAAAAGTATTACAGTGATATAATACCGTCACAAGTGAAAAATATCATGATAATTTTAGGTCCTATCGCCCATCCCTAGTGCTGACCATGTATAGACTAACATACTAACATACTAACAGCTATTTCTATAGATTTACATTATATTACGTATTACAACTTAGCTGATTTACAGTATACGAGAGGATAAGTATAGATGTATGTTAATACTAAGCCATTTTATATAGGGGACTTGGGCGTCCATGAATTTTGGTATCTGCGAGGGGTCCTGGAATGAATCCCACATACATAAGGAGGGCTGACTGTCATTGTAGCCATTTGATTTATTGTAACAGGATTAATCTGGTTCTAATATGAATTAGCAGCGTGAAGCTGTAATAATCCTGCACCCCCTCCCCCCAATCCGTACCTGTTTGTCAGAGAGAGAAGCTGCCGGAACAGGTCTGCCCATCTCCCGCATGACCTCCTCCAAGTATCTCTCCCGTACGGGGTGCATGAACCCCGGGACCTGCAGCACCTGGCACCCGCCGAAGAAGCGCGACAGCTTGCGCGTGTCGCCGGTGGCGCTCATGAGCACCACCCGCAGGCCGGGGTTGCGGCGCAGCGCCACGCGCAGCAGCGCCAGCAGCAGGTCCGTGTCGACGTCGCGCTCGTGCACCTCGTCCACCAGCACGTGGCTGACGCCCTGCAAGGCCGCGTTGGCCTGCAGCTTCCGCAACAGCAGCCCCACCGTCAGGAAGAGGAGAGCACCCCCGCTGTGCTCGGGAGGCCGGCTCTCCAACCGCACCTGGGGGGGGAGAACCAAGAACCAAGCCCCCTGATCAGGCACAGGATGGACCGTGTGAGGCGGAGCACACCCAAACAGGAATGCGTGATATACCGTTTCAGCATCGTCGCTGTGATGTGCACATGCACAATAATCACGATAATCACATCCCATTTGTCGGTGCTGCTGTGTGATATTGCCACGAGTTGTATCAACTTATTTGAGACACGCAATTTGGTAGACAAGTTCTACCTGACTATAGTTCATTTTGGTTAAATTATTATAAAATTTCGTCATAAATATTGCAACATCAAGGAATTTTCAAATATCACGACGTGTTATTGCGCAGCTCAGCTGCTGAACACTTCATGGGACATAAGAATCACACTGACAGGAGTATCACTGGGGCCCCACTAGATGGCACTCTCGGTTTGCTTTGGGGCATGAATTGAGCCCTTTTTTGAACCGAGAGCACCATCTAGTGGTGTCAGAAAATACAGCAACCGGTTCATGAAGCTTCATTAAGCTTCATTTGGCCATTGCTACCATACACACTGTGTGGGGCTGCCTTATACACAGGCCACACAGCTCAGCATTTGGTACCTGGTAGCCCACATGGCGTCTGAGAGAGGGCCCCAGCTCCTGGGCCACCCTACCGGCCACCGATACGGCGCTGATGCGTCGCGGCTGCGTGACCAGGATGTTGCAGTGTGCCCCGTCGCCCGTCAGCACGTGATGCTCCAGCAGGAAGCGGGGGATGCGTGTGGTCTTCCCGCAGCCTGTCTCGCCCTCCACCACCGTGACCCGTGCCGCCTCCACAGCGGACACCACGCGCTCTCGGTGGGTGTCCACCGGAAGCTCCTCCCTCAGAGCGAGGGCCGAGGTCCGCCACTCCTTGTAAAGGCTGGTGCTCAGCGCCTCTGCTTCATTCACAGACAGGGGGCGATATGGTCCCCCTGTAATGGCATTTCTGATGAGCTCCGTGTCCTCTTTAAGCTTCAGTCCTTCCTTCTCCTCTTCCTCTTGTAGTTTACGTACATCGTCCTTCACTGGATACTGCAGCGGAAGCACACAGAGGAATATGGAAGAATGCTACATTTACGACATATTTTTGGTTTTAACTAAAGTGATGAAAAATTGAGAGAGCAGAATCAGCCAGTCCCTGAAGCAGTTTTGAGGTTAAGGGCCTTGCTCATGAGCCCAACGGAGAAATCACTCTGCGATTATTTGCCGGCATTTGAACGGACAGCCTTCTGTCCCAGGAAGCCACACTGCGACAAACGCATTCCAAATAGCTAGAGATAAAAGCATTAGCTAGTTTATTTTGAAAACAATGAAATGAATTAGACACATTAGCATAGACATGGACTGATCCGCCTTTAAGAGAACAGAGCATGTAAACACTGGCATGAAACAGAAGGTGACCAGAGGGGTTTGTTCATGTTTACCCCTGTACCATATTCATACTCTGCTGTGTATTCACCGACCTTGGCAAAGTATACTCTCATTTTGTCCTCCAGGTATTCTGGGATGTCTATCGCGTGAGGCCGCCTTTCCCGCTCCTCCATCTCCCGCACCTTCTCCCTGTGGTACCTCGCGTGGCTCAGGGGCTTGTTGTCCTCATTCAGGAGACCCATTTCCTATGGGGAGCACAGGCAGGTTTTACACTGCACCTTCTAAATGAGCATGCATGCATGCTTGCACCCGCACACACGCACGCCCGCACCTTCAGCCTCAAGCAGGCCTGGGCAGCCGCTCTCCTCTCAGCTTCCACCCTGCGCCAGGCTGAGCCCTGGAAGCTCATCTTCTCGGGCCAGAGTACCGTCAACTGGCAGGTCTTCACCTTGCCCCCCTTCGTCTGGTATTGCACCACATCCTGTACAAAAAATACAGACACGCACATTTTCAGTGTATCTGAGGGGTAGATGCAAAGGTACAAATGCAAGGCTAGCATAATTGAAGGCGTCGGGTGTTTATCAATACCAAGAACGCACCGAACGGACTTGCTAACTCGCCTCCCAAGAATGAATTTGGGATGCAATGAATCATGGGATTGTTCTCACTGGCAAGGATGCAACTAATGCATCCTTGATATTTGGGGCGGGTCAAAAACAAGGTTCAGGGATTTTTAACGTTCTCCATACTTGCATTCTTGAGTATTGGAACCATATTTAGGCGATGGAAGAGGACATCAAGCGGGTACTCGAGAACTCAAGAATGGTCAATTATGCACATTGGCAAACACCCAATAAGTGCAGGACAGATCACTGTGCCTTTCCTTTTGTTAAAATGAGCCTTACTGCCGGGCTCGAGTCTGAGCAGCATAACAGCCCCCTCTGCTGGCCACTATAGGCAAGGTCTGCACAATGGTGGGGAAAAATTCACAATGTGATTTATAAAGCAATTTATAAAACAAAAAATATATAAGACATAAAAGGAGTTTAAATAAACCAATATTAGAACTTACTATCATCTACCAATAGAGTCTGTCAATTAAGCTGGTGACAAATGACTTGCTTTTGTTCAATAATGTGCCTGTGAAATGCAAAATATTTCCATACGGCAGAAGACAAATGTTCTTGTTCGCTTTTCTCCTCTTCACTCATTGTGTTACATTTCTCACAAACACACCACAGTGAGTTCAAGAGCAAGTACAAAAATGATTGTGATGGGGTCAGAGAGTACATGCAGAGCTCACATGAAGACGGTGGCACACTAGACTGATGAGAGTACATGCAGAGCTCACATGAAGACGGTGGCACACTAGACTGATGAGAGTACATGCAGAGCTCACACGAAGACGGTGGCACACGACTGATTTTTGTTTTTTTTTTTAACATATACTACATAATCTTGAAAAGTGACAATTGTTAAAATTGCTAAGACTGCCAAGTTTCATTCCCTATAACAGAATAAAAAATGTTTTAGCTTTTTGATAGTCTAAACCTTTCTAACTATGGTGATCCTTGCAATGTCACAATTGCATACAACATCCATCCATCCATCCATCCATTTTCTGAAACCGCTTGTCCTGCTCAGGGTCATGGGGGTCTGGAGCCTATCTTGGAGTCTACAGGTGGGGGCCAACTCAGGATGGGGCGCCAACCCATCACAGGGCACACCAACATGCCAGTCACACACACAAGCACACCTAAGGGCAATCTGGCAACTCCGATTAACCTCAGTATGTTTTTGGACTGTGGGGAAAAGCCGCAGTTACCCAGTGCAAAGCCCAAAACGATAAGGGGAGAACATGCAAAGTCCACACACATGGAGCCCTGGCGGAGACTCGAACCCGGGTCCCAGAGGTGGAAGATGACAGAGCTAACCACAGCACCACTATGCCAGCCCTACATCAAACATACATGTTGATATTAACATCACACATCGTGTGGCTCTACTAGGCGCAGAGCAGTTCAACTTGAGAGCAGTGAGGAAATCCCCGAGAGACTCACTCTGATGCTGGAGGAAGAGGTGGCCACCTGTACGACTTGTGCGAGTAGCTCTTTAGGCTTCGGGAACAGCCTGACAGCTTCCCCTTCAGACGACCTGCATGCATTTGCGGAAGGACAGAGACAGAGAACTTATGGGGAAAACTAAAATAAGAAAGGCTAAAGTCATAATCTCACATTTAGATTTTTCAATGCTACAAAGGCGAAAAAAAATTTACATGACAAAGCATTTTCCGCCCTATTCTTCCACTTTCTTCATGGACGAGACGAAAAGTAGATGACAATTTCAAAATTAACAGAAACAAAAAATCCACAACAAAGCAGCATGTACTTTAATGATCCCCAACCATCATGATCTCTGCATGGCAACCAGACCTACCTCAAAATGTCCGGGGGCCTGTCCTGGGGGGCCCCCCCCGCATCCTCCCAGAGGGCCTTTGACCTCCATCGGGGCAGCTCCTTCCCCACCTTCAGCATGCCCAGCTCCTGCACAGGGGGAGCACCATCAGCACGTCATCACCATGTGTGATGGGCAGGACTATGTCGCCATGGTAACACCCCCCTATACACACACACACACACACCTTTAGCTTTTGACAGGCGGCGGCAGCAGCAAGACGCTCGGCTTCCAGCTTCCTGGAGGCGAATCCCTCCACCTCGATCCTCTCGGGCCCCAGCACAGTCACAGTTGCTCTCTAACGAGACACAACACAGAAGGTCAACCAATCAGCAACAGGAGGCTGGCATCTGGGATCCGTGTGGATGCACGTGTGCACCTGCCGAGTGCTCAGCTTCTGCTGCGTGAAACTTCAACACAGCTCAGGAACTCGTGGGCTTTTTTGTCCTCTTACCTTATACACCCATCATTAGTCAGCCTGTGTTCCTTCTGACAATATCCACTTCAACCCAACCTTTGTCCAAGACCTCTAGCTTTGAAATAAATCTTAGTCCGATAATGCAATAATCTCCTAAACTGGTAACCTGACTACTCTGAATGATATGCTCTTTCTCAGACTCTATGGCTAGTGATTCAGAAATACAGTTAGATTAATTTATAATTAGCAGACATTTTTAACCACAGTTATGTATAGGGGAGGCAAATAGATAATTACAAACATTTGGCTATCGAGGAGTCAACTAGGCATCAGTGTAACTAGGTTGAGCTTCCAGTGAAGTGCAAATCGTATAGAAGCAGGTGCTATACAACACCTCCCAACAAAGCAGTAACCCAATTCAGTTATAAGTGAAATAGAAAGAACACTGAAGGAAGACCGAGGCATTAAGCTAGCAGAAGGAAGCCGTTTTCTCATACCACAGGACACGCACCTTGACATTCCCTCCCACCTCTGTGCAGCAGTACTTAAGGTGCTTGGAGAGATCAGAAAGGCCAAGCAACCGGGAGACAGTCTTGTGCAGAAGGTTTTTCGGTTCAGGGAATTCCTTCAGCAGGTCCCCATGACCTGAGAAATGGAGCAGAACGCTAGGATGATTCTTTTTTTGTTAGATTTTTCTTGCTATGTCTAAAAATGTGCGACATAACTCAGTAGGATCAGTATTTTTTCCTCATATTGTATTTATTATTCATTTATGAGGGAAAAGAGGGCTCCCTGTTATACTATTCTTTTACGCCTTCCTATAGCACAAGACTTACAGACGGACAGACAGACAATGTTACATTTGGATTGCAGTATAATTACGGTTCGTAGGACTGTAGGGTAAAGGGGAATAGCTCGCCGAGGGTCGTCTCTTTGAACCTATGACGTTCGTCATGAAACCCAGCGCTTCTGACCTCCAGAGACATGCGGTATTTTAGCAGCAAAATGTAAAAAGGATTTCCCCGTTATCCCTTTAGTAAAGACTTACTTAAACAAAACAAGTAACCACAACAACTCACTCATTAAACCCTCCACGTTTAACAAAACTATTGCACCGATTGATCGCAGATCCTAGACGTTGATATCCGAAATTAATTCTGTTAATTTGGTATGTAACTAAATGACGTACTGGGAATTACGCCGCAAAGACCGGGCACATTATACGGGCGCGCTTAGGGCTGCGGAGCAGCCGGCTGTCACCTCTCACCATGCTGCTTCCGAGCCTCTGGTTCCCCAGGGTCCCGGGCGGTCCCGACTCTGGTCCCGAAGCCGTGCTGCCCAGTCCGTGTGAATACACGGCCGCTCCTCGCCAGCGTCCCGCTGGATTTACCTCCAAGGTTGTATAAAACCCGCATGAGTGCAGCACAAGACGCCGCCATCTTGCACCTTTATAACCTTCTGCTTCTACTGTGACAGTAGAAATGCCGGTATAGTTGAATTGGCGCAGCGCCGCCTAACGATCCGGAGGCCTCAGTGCACCGACACGATGGACAAAATCGTAGCTCATTAATCCTTTATTACCATCGGATGTATAAGATGCAAAGGATACCTTGCAGCAGACACAGTCCATGTAGGGAAATCCAGTAATCCTGACTTTGTTGCTGGATCAGTCAATGTGGGGAAACCCTGTAATCCGGCTCCTATTCAGGGCACTCACACTGCCAATCATACATGCACCTTACTGCAAGTTTTTGGACTGTTGGGGAAAACCAAGTTCTTTTTAGCTCCGTGAATCAGCTAAATTAGTCTGGAGCACATGAAGGAAGCCCAGGGCCCTAGGCACAATGCACTCAGGATGGGACGCCATTCCAACTCATGGTGCACACTTACACACACCTCAGGCAAGTTAAACATGCTGATTTGCCTAAACACTGTTTTTAGATGACAGGAAGATATCAAAGGAAACCTGCAGAAGATGGGGAGAACTCCATGAGCACAGAGCTGGGAGCAGGAATCATGCCCATAGAGTAGGTCAGAGGCGGCAACCTTTATAAAGCAAAGAACCATTTTCTCCTGAATGTCTGACCAAAGATTTACAATGAGCCACAGTGGGTAAAGGGGGACTGAGATATGAATTTTTAATGTGATATGTGTAGATAAAGGGGGGGTGGGTGTCATCTCCGTTTAAACCACTCAGATGCGTAACAGCGCAAAGGTGACTAACAGTACAACACTGATTAGTTCTGTAGCGATAGTCTTCATCCTCATCCCTCCTTTCGTCTGGCTCTGTAGTCGTCTTCCCTTCACTCTCCACTTCAGTACTGTAACTGTGCTGACCGAGCAGCGCAGAATGTCCTCACCACTCCCAACTCAGCCGGCTTTAATATGTAAATCAGAGGAAATATAATTTTTACGAAGACCTGGGAAGGCGTGGTGATGATTTACTACAAAAAGTACATGAAAGAATTAGGAATCCCAATAAACGTTGAAGCGTACATCCAATCTCAGGTGCTTAAGAAAGCATACCATTTAACCAGAGGGGTAATCTCGTTTTAGCGAATGACTTTGAGGAAGATGTAAATTATGTAAGACGGAACAGAAGCGTGCGACGGACCGCCTCATTCACATATAGCTACAGAAATACCTAAATGAAAAATATTAACCCATAAATACATGATTTATCTTTACGATAGTATTATATGTTGACATGAAAATGTGAATGCGGCTGTCGTTCTGAGAAGAGCCCCACGTGGCCGCAGGTTGCCGTCCCCTGGTGTAGGAAATATGAAGCTAGGTTATTAAAAATCTAATGAAATTATGTTTTATTCACCATTTCCACAAATGTAAGGTCAGGTACGTTATAATGCTTCCTCTGAGACACACTGACACATATATACAGTGAAGAGCAAAGTGCGGGCCCTTGGGGCCCCTGGAGCGCTACTAATCAGTGTAATCACTAAGCCAACGTTCCAGCCCTAAAAACAACGCGATAAACATCATACTTATCAAAAACTATAATGCCATCAGGTTTATCAACGTATTAGATGTGAAATGCTCATATTACAGTGCATGCGATTTGATTTACTAGCATCCGATTCAGGGTGTTCCCTGACTCGTGTTCTATTTTTCTCCGGATAGGCCCTGGTCCCACCAGGATCCTGTACTGCAGGGTTGTTCAACTCACGGTCCTCGAGGTCCGAGCACTGCTGGTTTTCCAGCCTTCCTTTACCTGTCAGTCAGGTGTGAAGCCTCTGACCAATCAGAATCAGTAATTATTAAACAACTACCTGGGAGAACTGAAAACATGGCCTGGATTTGGAATCGAGGTCCAGAGTTGAAGAACCCTGCTGTACTGGATAAGCAATTGGAAAATGGATGGACGGATGAAGACATTTTTTATTCATGCATCGATTTGAATTTTCTTTCCCGCCTCTGCTTGGGGTTGACTAGTGGGAATAAACCCAGTGCATGATTCAGTGCAAATTTTGGACGGTTAGGCAATAAAATGTGATAATTCCTGAAGTGCATGCTAGCTTCAACCACAAAATGCTAAAAAAATGGACATCCTGAACTTGCCTGTGACAGATTAAAGAAAAATGTCTCATTCCATGTAAAACCAAAGGAGTCCGAGGCCCCCATGCACGTGCTCCAGAACACACCTCTCCGTGGGCCCAGAGCGGCGTCGGCGCACTGGACAAACGCTGACCTGACTCAGCAATCCCACACATGGTCGAAGCACATGCATCAGCTAAATGTCATTAACCTCGTGCTGGGTGACGGCTTTCATCTCTTCAACCACAATTTAAAGAAAGATCCAGTGACATAATCATGTTCAATTACACACAATTAAACAAACAAACAGAAACAAGTATAATTATAGAAAGTCCGAAGTCAGACTCGAATATTTGGAAATATACAAAGCATTGGGTCAGAACATCAGGTGTTACAGCAAAACAGATACAGTATAAAAATCCATCATAAAGGCTATTCTTAGATTTACCAGATTTATCCCCTCGAATATGGAGACGACATCATCCCCCTTGACTAAATCACAACAGTGAGAACAAGAACTGGGGCTTTTAAGACTCATTTCCTTAAATGTCAATACATTTTACCCTGTGGGCTTGACATTTAGATGATCAGCTCAATGGTGGGAGCTGATCCTGGATCAGAGGGCCTTGTAGAATGACAGGATGATGATGATGATGTAAAACAGGCAGTCATTACAGAGCCCAGAGTCACACACAGTTGAAGGGGCAAATACGTCCTTCACCCCTGAATGAAAGACTAAGCACTGTAAACCAGGGGATGCTCTTCCTTCTCACTAGGGGGCGCCCATTTCTCTGAGTGTGTTACATCATCACTGGCCAATGGTTGCTTCTAGAGCTCCCTACTTTGGGCGGTTTTGCTCATTCACTGCAGAGGGACAGTTTTTAAGGGGATCCAAGTTAAAGTGCAGTCTGGTTACAGGAAGCTCGTTCAGGACGCTGCTATTGGTCAGAAGGCTGCCAGGTAAAGAAGTCGATCCCTTTCAGCTCCGCCGGTAAGTACTCCTGCTCCACCGGCTCACTGAACGCTGGGTTATACTTGTAGCCCTTGGCATAGCCTAACTCCTTCATCAGCCGGGTGGGGGCATTGCGGAGGTGTAGGGGCACTGGGGGCAGGGGGCCTCGGTGGGTCCTCAGGCAGGTCTTCACGTTGTCGTAGGCCTTGTACACCTCCACGGACTTGGGCGCTCTGGCCAGGTAAACGACGCACTGAGCCAGGATCACCTGCGGAGACGGACACACTGTAGCACGCGTGCAGGATCCGTGTCGAGAAGCGGACGGGAAAAACGCTGATCGCCTAACACTGTTATTGGAATAAACCTACTGGTACAATGAGAAACAAATCATTCATTGATATCAACGGAAAGACAATCGTGCCTGCAAGTTTGCCATCGTTTGTCTAATCTTAAATTTAAATTTTTAAAATAAAGCAGGTGAGAATTTCTATTTGAAACAACAAACACATGCCTTGCATTTAAGTAACTCACAAGGCACTCGTTCAGTTCCCTCAACCGTACAAATGTGAAAGTCCTGAAGCAGTAAAAAGATGGGACTCTATCACGCCCATCTTACCTCACACTCCGGCATGCCGATGAAGTGGCAGGCCTGGAAAGCAGACACAGCCTGAGGGAGGGCACTGGGGTCAGCTATACCTGTAGGGGGCGCAATAGGGTACGGAGGATCTCAGGGCTTTGACCTCATATCCACAAAATACATATCAAAGCCTACAACCAATGGGTTTCTAAACCTGGTGCCCTAAATCATCTGTGAATTGAAGTCTTAATGACTGACACACAAATTACCTAATTTAGAGCATTACAAGGTTGAGTTATTCCTAACCATCTACCTTCCAAGGCAATGCTAATCTATACGTTTGAGTAAACCACTTTATTTTAGGTACTTCCAATGTAAACGCCAAGTTCAATTTCTTAAGTTCATTACCAGTTTGCCAAATAGCTCTTCATAATATTAGCTCCTGTACATGTGGGGAAACCCTGTAATCCTGAACCTGTAGCAGGATCACTACATGTAGGGGAATCCTGTAATCTTGAGCCTGTAGCAGGATCAGTACATGTGGGGAAAGCCCTGTAATCCTGAACTTGTAGCAGGATCAGTACATGTAAGGAAATACTGTAATCCTGAGCCTGTAGCAGGATCAGTACATGTGGGGAAAACCCTGTAATCCTGAACCTGTAGCAGGATCACTACATGTAGGGGAATCCTGTAATCCTGAGCCTGTAGCAGGATCAGTACATGTGGGGAAACCATATAATCCTGAGCCTGTAGCAGTTCTAGTCCAAGTGGAGGAATCTAAGTAGCAGTTCTAGTTCAGACTTTGCCCATTAAGAGTTACTATAATTAAGCGATGATGTTCAGCTGTGCTCATCATCATAGCTCTTTGGCCTGGGAGATCACTCACCCACATCCTCGCTGGCGAACCTGACAAGCCTCCGAGCCACATATAAGGGGTCCTCCCCACCCTCAAGCATGCGGCCCAGCCAGTAGAGGGCAGCGTTTTCATGGGAACCCCTCATAGACTTATGCAGGGCTGAGATGCAGTTGTAGTGTTCTTCACCTAGTAGGGAAACACATTCAACTTGGTGTTTACTCCTCAAATTGGCAATCAGAGCTTCAGTAGGCTGGCCGGACATACATTTGTGGAAAATTCGTTTTTGTTCAAATACTGTAGAATTGAATAAAACTGAAAAAAAAGAATGTAATGGAAATATAAATATATGTATTTATAAGGTTAAAATTTAAAATTAAATAGCAATTTTTGGGGGTTCCATTAAGAATTCTAGGTGGTAATGAAAACTGCACCCATTGACTTGGTGTCAGACATTAATAGAAACATGTATTCCCCGAGAGAGAGCAATGTGGGACTGATGCCCACTGATGTTAGATGTGTCACACTGGTCTCCAGCGAGGTCTCCAGATAGTAAAGGCTTGCTCAATCAGCCAATCAATGCCCTGTCGCTATGGCAACCGATGTAGACGCTGAGCTACTCTGTTAAATTCCTATTCCCCTTTCTATTGGCTACCTGTCTTTCACAGTGGGCGGATACAGGGGCAGGGACGTACCTGCCTTGTCGTACAGTATGTGGGACCTCTGTAGACCCTCTTTAACGTGATCCTCTTGCACCAGAATGTCCTGGGCGGGGGCGTCCAGTTTGCTTGCGTTGATCCGCGCCTGTATGGCCATCTGGAGCCCATTGAGGCCAGAACGGGCGTCACCGTCACAAAGGTGAGCGATGGTGTCCAGGGCTTTCTGCTCGATGTACACCTTGGGCCTGCAGCACATCCATTACTTCACGTTAAGAGAGCGAAAACACCAGTCGGCACATCAGAAGCCAGAACGAGGGGAGGTTGCCATGTCAGAAGAAAAACAGCCTTCACACAAGACCAGATTAAGCGCATCCAGCTCATATTCCCATAAAGGTTCAAATCCACAAAAAAGGAATCTTAAGTCCCTGCATAGTAAAGTAAAGTAAAGTGAAACTTTATTGTCATTCACACCATACAACAGTACAAAGACGGATGCAGGCAGAACGAAATTGCGTTTCTCCAAGGCTCAATGTGCGGACATAAGGGACAAGTGCACTCAAGACAACATACATACAACATGCAGACATTTCACTTTACAGAGGTAGTTAAGACAGCATGGCAACATAAAGCAGCAAAGTACAAACAATAAATATATATACACGAATATATTCTGTGGGTGATATATAGTATGAATAATTATTGCACTACGTTTCACAGTGAATTAGTTATTGCACTATATAAGTAGAATGAAAACTTGAGACCTATCAGTGGTTATAAAGTGCACAATAGGTAGGAGAGTAAAAGGTCAAAAGGTTATTTAACAGAGTTTAGTATTCTGATGGCCTGGGGGTAGAAACTCCTGTTAAATCTGGCTGTTCTGCAGTGTATGCTGCGGTGGTGTTTTCCAGACGGCAGAAGTTCCAACAGTCCATGTGCTGGGTGTGTAGGATCTTTTATGATAGAGACATGAGGGAAAAAAAAAATCACATTTGGGTCCTAAGCAGAGAGAGAAAAAAACTGTTTTGGAGTCACTGTCTCTAGATATCAAATTTGTCTTTGTGATATTTCTACCTCTGACCTGAGCTTACAGCTGTGTTCCATGAAAGCTAACAAAACTGTCCTGGGGCCTGTCCTGGGGCAGGCGCTGCAGATACGTCACGGCAAATTATCCATATGAAAGGCTGTCAGGAGTCGGTGTCCAGCTGCCATAATTATTTACTGGACCTAAGCAGTTCCTAAGAATAAGCCATTCTTCCATCCTGCCAAGCCCACAAAGGGCTGAAAGGGGACCTGGAGTTTATGCCAGGCGGTGCAGGAAGAAGATGTACGCCCTGGATGGCATGCCGGACGATCACAGGGCAGAGATGCCAATTAGCCCAACTGCATGTCTTAGAAAAGGAACAATGCAGCTTGAAACCCAAGTCACCATGACCATTCCATGAGGTACAGCATGTATTCGGCAGTGGTCAGAGAGGTCCCCGTACCCTGCAATGGGTCAGCTCCCTGAGAAGAGGTCCCCGTACCCTGCAATGGGTCAGCGCCCTGAGAAGAGGTCCCCGTACCCTGCAACGGGTCAGCGCCCTGAGAAGAGGTCCCCGTACCCTGCAACGGGTCAGTGCCCTGAGAAGAGGTCCCCGTACCCTGCAATGGGTCAGCTCCCTGAGAAGAGGTCCCCGTACCCTGCAACGGGTCAGCGCCCCAGCCTGGGCTGTTCACTGCCTCGCGCTTGTAACCTCTGGGATAGGATCTGGACCCCCACAACCCCAAAAAGGGTAAGTGCTAACAGATAATGGATGGACGGATTGATGGACGGATTGATGGAGCTCCCTGCATGCTGGACATTAGCGGACAGTGACGATGGTGTGAAACGGGGCGTAAGGCTGTAGGTTCATACTCATGAAGAGTATTAACCATGCAGCAAGCGCAGAGAACCTCAAACCGAATGCTAATCTATACACATATATTAAGCTGGCTTCAGTTTCACTGCAAACACTGATCAAAGTTATTATGCAAATGGTACTTTCCCCCAATACTTTTATACTAAGCATACATACTGTGAATTGATACCTGATGATTCAATGACTGCAACTACATCTGTAAGTCATGAATAACCAGGCAGTTTTAACGCCCTGCTCCTTAATAGTTAACTTTAAGATTATTTGTAAACAACTTTAAAGCCTCCTAAGCTTCACGAAAGGCCAACAGCAGATTCTGATGGCACTGCGTGGTCCAGCTCTTGCATAAATTCAGGACACAACGTGCTGGACTTTTTATGTTCTGGAAGTAAACTCCGTGTTAGTGACTCGGAGAAACATTCGCGGCGGAGAGCGGCGGCTCCCTGGCACAGAGTATGCGGCGTGCCCAGTCTCGCTGCTCCACTTGGAAAACACTGTGGACCGCCAGCCAAGGACTCCCACCACCTTCATCCATCAGCATCATCTTACACTTGTCAGGGGGGGGGGGGTCTATAAAACCCGATCCAGTTCCTCAGGGCAGCCAGAACTCCATGGCTGCTGACACAGCTGGGAAAAAGACCAAAATACGAAATATACTGTGTCCAAACTGCTGCCAATCTGCATGAGGCAAGGCAAGGGTATTCTTTACTGCTTAATATAGTTATACACTTCACGGTTTCCAACTAATGTACTACCTCCTGGACACGTCGAGTTGAGAGAGAGCTCAGGGACACCAAATGCAGCTTTAAACACCCCAAGACTGAAGCTACACACTCAAACCGCAATCAGAATGAACTGTTCACACAGTCTGCTGTTTTAGCTGAAACATTTTATAGTTTAAGAAGTGCACCTTTCATACTGCCCATAAACAACACACACTTTTCTGTGCATGTACCTGTATACCTGGTGCAGTGGTGGCCTAATGCTTAGGGATGCGGCCTTGTGATCGGAAGGTTGCTGGTTCAAATCCCTGACTGTCAAGGTACCACTGAGGTACCCTGAGCAGGATACTGCCCCCAAGTGCTAAATCAGCTGCCCCCTGCTATGTCGCATATGGGTTAAATGTGCAAAGGACACATTTTGTCGTCGTGTGCTATGATGCGTCAACAATGACAATGTTTCACTTTCATGTTACAAAATCGTTTATAAGAACTGTGAGAAGTGATCAGATGTTTCTCAAACACACTAAACTGCTTGGCAGCCTGATGGCAGAGTGGGAAAAGCAGAACTGAAGTGGATACTTTTGGGTTTCTGTCTCTTCATAAGTGTATTAAACACCAGATCAAAGGTGTCAAACATCAATCAGGTACAATCAGGACCTAGTAAACATGACCATGGGTCAGTCACGTTCATGCAGACTCACTCTGAGTCCCCAGGGCAGTCAGTGGACGTCGCGCCATCCTCAGCGCTACCTTCCGGTGCCCCCAGCACGCGCAGCCCCAGCGCGGACACCGCCCGCTCCAGCACGGCGGCCATGGCCTCGGCGGACAGCCGCTCCAGCACCAGCACGCGGCACCGGCTCAGCAGGGCGGCGTTCACCTGGAAGGATGGGTTCTCCGTGGTGGCGCCGATCAGCGTCACCGTGCCGCACTCCACGTGGGGCAGGAAGGTGTCCTGGGCAGACGGGACACGGGAGGCGAGGCGGAGAGCCGCCTGGGTTACTGTTAGCGCTCAGAAAGGCAACTGCTACGTCAGCTCATATTAGGACCTTGGTGCTTAACTGAGATTAAACTGCTTCCCATTCGCCTAGACGGGAAAGGCAAGATATACATTTGCACTGTAGGATTAGGATTTGAAAATTACATTAATTATACATTAATCAGGTATTTTAGTATGCTATTTGTTTATTAGCATAAACTTTTTTGATTATTTATGAAGGAGCTACTGGATATCCGAATTTTCCCCTTGGGGATGGATGGATGGATGGAAGGAAGGAAAGAAAGGAAAGAAAGAAAGAAAGTCAGTATCTATCTATCTATCTATCTATGTATTACACATAGTTGAAGTCATCAGCATTTAGGGCATTTTTTTGCCTGTTCTGCCATTTCTGACCCCCTGCTAGAGATCATGAAGAAATCTGCAGGAAATGGCAATAAATCATATCAGTAGGGTGCTTCCTTCTTCTGACAAAATTAAGCTTTTCTTGGGGTGAGCAAATGAAGTTTTCCTTTCTCTTGTACAACGTTGGTTCAGTTAGCAGTTAAAAGTGAGAGTTGATCAGGAATGAAGACTGGCTTTCTGCATGTCGAATAATCTTAAAAAGACGATCCATAATACACATCCACATATTCCACAATGTAATACGTACAGCCGGTACGTAACTAAACGGTGACGCTCTAAAAATCACCCTGAACGCACCTGCTGAGACTTATTGAAGCGGTGAATCTCGTCAATGAAGAGGATGGTCTTCCGCTTACAGAGCCGCAGTTCATTCTGTGCCTGTTTGATGACTTCTCGCACCTCGTTGGTGGTGGTACTGGTGGCGGACAGCGTGACAAAGCGAGTGGAGCCCTTCTTCTTGCAGTTCGTGGCGATGATGTGAGCCAATGTGGTCTAGAGAGGGAAGCACTAGTGAGCGTAGGGCTGCAACAACTAACGGATGCCAGTAATAATCGGTATTGCATTTTTGCAATTCGCTATATAAATTGCATATGATGACATCATCACCTTACAATATGAATGGTGGTGTGTTAAGCACAATCACTAGCAACCTAAACATGGTGGAGACAGCAGGCATAAGACCAAAACATAAGTGTGAAATCACTTTAATCTTGCGTCGTTAAAGAAGCCTGCCAGGAGGATTTATTAAAAAGAGATTTGCTTAGGGCTTTAGCAGTATACATATTCACTGTGTGCCTTCGGTATTCACTTTATGTTTTATGACATTAAATCCACAAGTAACATGGAAAACATGCCGACTGTCGCTGTAAGTTGGCTACGGCTAGTGCTGAAGAATCTCCCACATCATTTAAATCAGTAGTTTAGGAACATTATGGTTTCCCAATAAATGACACCAACACCATAGTGAGAGCGGTTGATAAGACCAAGACTGTCTGTTGACTCTGTTATACCGAACTTGGAAGCCGCTGGAAACACATCCCACATGCTAACTCATTCGAGATGACATCATTTCAGTGTGTGCATGACAGGAGCAAAGCAAAAACAGCCTCTGCCAGATAATCTCTCTCTGGTGTCTAAGGCACTTTTGCAAGGAAATTCAGACTGGGCTCAACAAACAAACAAACAAACAAACATATAAATGAAAAAACTAAGGCTGTAGGGGAGTTTATCACTACAGATATGTACCCATAGTAGTAGAGAATATAGGATTTAGTTCATTATGAAGGTTATAATGCAATCTTATTTTTCAAATTATTTTGCATATTGATTTTTAGTGTGAAAATGAACATCCCCTAGGTTTTGCTATGTTGACAGACACTGCCTTTTGTCTGGTTTACAACAATAGCTAATCTTGTATGGTATTTTAAAAATAATCTAATTTCAAAACAAATTCCGTTTTCCTGCTGTACCGAAACTGCACCAAACCATGAACTGAGGTGAATACAAAAATGTGAATTTTGTGAACCATTACACCCCCCGATTCTCTCTGTTGTGTAAAGTTTTAATTACAACTGAGAGTTAAAAATACCTTGTTAATTTTTTTTAATTAAGCATCTGCATTTTTCTTTGTTTTGGCCCAACTAATGAATTGGGTGATTGGCTGAACACATGATAAATTAATCGTTAAAATAATCGTTTTTTTAACAGCTCTAAGCATGCATCAACTGGTCTTAGCGTTAGCAAGTTGCTAGCATTGTGAAAAATGCCAAATGCCCAGAGCTTGTTTTTCGATTGAATTATTAATCTGTATTTTGTGATACAAACATTTCATCTGACTGACAGTATGTCTGGATATATACAACGGTGTTAGGTATGGTCATTAGAGAGAGAGAGAGAGAGGGTGAGAAAAAAACATCTAAAAATATCCAATCCAGTTGTATCATTACTGTATGTTACATATTTTTTAGGGAGTTCAGGCAGCTAAATGGAACTGGGTTCAGAGGGGCAATGGGCAATCCACTAGGATCCAGGCCAAACTTGGATCAATCATCAACCCACCCCCAAATCAAAGACATCAAGTATAGTCAGCAATAAAACACTTAACAGTGACACCTTCCTTCTAGGGGTAGAGCTAATGCACAATCACTAGAACTGCGAGTTCCGCAAGGTCTGAGGTCCGCAGCACGCCGCTGAAGCGGCGGATTTCCACGGAAATGTCCCTTTCATTAATCACCAGTCCTCAGTCTACGTCTAAGGCAGCAGTCTAGGTATCTTTAATCAAGGCAGGGGGACCGCTGACATTTTCCAGAGATTTATGTAGGTGACAGGGGACACCACAGGGCACACTAAACAAACAAACGGAAGCGAACGACACTGACGCCTGCCTAAAGCCGGCCCGCTACCCTGCACCGTCCCAAGGACACGCTAAAGACCCCCCTTTGACACCTGCCTGTAAATAGACACATCATCCGCTTCGGCAGCTGACAACTATCAACGCCTTGCAAGACACTGGAAGACACAGGCACACATACACAGGCATGAGGGCCAGGCTGAATGATGCTTAGACAGACAGTAGGAGAGTGCAAGGTAAGAAGAAATCAGTGCATATTACATATTAATACTAAAATGTATCCTATGAATGTACAGTATGAATGACAGTAAGTGAAGTGATTCAGTACAATAAAAGGAATGTATGAACGTAATGTACAGTAACAAAAAGCTATTATATAATGATTATATAATAACGCCACTTATTATTGCACTTATAAACCTGTCAGTAAGATGTTAATATAAAAGACAACAAAAATAAACCCGTTTGCTTGCAAAACTGTCATCGACACTGCGCTTGGCTACCAAATCGCGTGTTTTATTACAGTACCTCTTTAATACACTGGCTGTAATACAATAGTGAAGCAGAGGAAATGCATACACTTCAATTCATGGTTGCCAAGTTTGGTCCGCAGACTGGTCTGAGATTTTCATTTAGAAACAGATCTGTACGCGCATTTACATGCACACGTAACAGTTTTATTACATTGTAAATAGTCTGTAGGGTTTGCAAACTGCCCCTTTTGATGTAGCGAAAGTTACAAAGGAATAACAAGGATTTCCCTTAAAACGTCTTGCACGAGAGGGATAGTCACGCCAGATGCGTGAGAGCTGGCAACCCAGTTTTGTTTAACTGGCCATGAAAAGTCTAAAATGGCCTATTGATGAAAGTGAAATGTGACATGAGCAATTAAATTGGTAGTGTTGTGCTTATGGGTGATAAAGTTTTTAAAGGTAACTCGTACCTTCCCGCAGCCCGGCGGCCCCCACAGTATCAGCGAGGGGATGTCAGCGGACTCCAGCATGCGCCTCAGCAGGGTGTTTTCTCCCACTGCTTTATTTTGACCGAAATACTCTTCGAGGGAACTGGGCCGTATTTTCTCGGCCAGGGGCTTGCCGCCGTCGAGCAGGGAGCTGATGGAGAGGTGGCGTTCAGCGTGGCCGGGGACCGGCGGCCCGGCGTCCGGCGAAGAAGCGGCTGCCGTCGGCGTCTCCCTCTGCTCGCGCCGCTTCTCTTCCGGCGATGTGCACCCACCGGAGGGCGGTGCCACCGGCTTATCCGCTTTGGTCGCCCTGTTTTTGGCATGAAACACTGAAAAGACATGTAAAGGAGCGGCGTGCGGTTGCTCGGTCTCCCGGTGCTCCGCCGAAGCGCCGGGGCGAAGCGAAAGCCGAGCTTTCTTCATTGGGGGCCCGATCTCGGAAGCAGTGTCGGGCTTGCTGTTTGACAGATGCCCGCCGTTGTTACTCAGCAAACACGTGTCCAGGTGGGCATTGATCCCCGAAGCTCCGACTTCACCTGAACATACGGGGCAGCGCACGGTGTCCGCGGCTTCCCCGCCGTCGTGCGCCATTTCCCGCGAAACTTTCAGCTCTACGCTATTAGCGATCACTTCCGGGACTCCGGATACACGCCACCAAAGTTACACCTCCTTAAGCAAAAGTTTCATATTGACACTGTTATCACCGATAGAAGAATGACCGATTAAAAAAAAGGGCAAAGCTGATTACGTCAGCACGCGTTGCATTGTGGGGCTTGTATTTTTTATGGACCCTTGGTTATATGATAAGTGTAATACTTTACGAGCAGTGTTTGGAGATGTTACTCACGAAAGTAATCCATTACAGACAGAGGTGGAAACAAAACCGGGCGGAGCTGCCTCACAGCAGGAAGGTCGCTCGCTCGCCCTCCCCGTGTTCGTGTGGGTTTTTGCCGGGGGCTCCGGTTGCCTCCCGCGGTCAAAAAGCATGCAGGGCAGGTTGATTGGTTAGTCTAAATTGGCCAAGGGTTGGTCCCCGCCTGCCCCCCTTGCTCCCGGGATAGGCTCCGGTTCCTCTGCGACCCCATTTGGGATTAAGCGGGTATACGGTGATGAATGGATGGATGGACCCGGCTCATCCAGTTTCTTTCAGGAATGTTAGGATAAACACGTTTGAGAGGCTGTCAGGTAGATTTCGTTTGAGTATAGGTAGCAGGAGAGGCAGTACGGACGCACAGAGCTCCATTCACTTGCCGGATGTTTGCAGGCAGGTTCTCCAATAAGCAGCTCGTGGGAAGCCTGTGGTCCTTAATCTTCCTCTACCTGCAAGGCATGACAACCCCGAGGTGCTTCTGGGAGACAGAGCACATTGAGCCTGAAGTGAGATTTCATCACCATTATTAACCCTTGTCATTCTGCAGTACAGTAGACTGGGTTTCCTTGGTGCACCAATAAAGCACAAAAACTTTTGATTTAGACGTCAGCAGATTAAACGGCTTTGTGTGGCTGATTGGCGACACCTAGTGTCAATATACTGGAATAACTTGACTTTTCAGCTTCTCTTCGCATTTTCCGAGGTGATGCATGTCTGGCGCCGTTAAACCATAGCTGAGCCATAAACGGTCAGGTTGGACCAGCATTGTTCATGATTCATCACCGAATACCATCTTCATCCAATCATCTACAGTCCACGACTGCTTCTCTTTAGCCCACTGTAACTTTGTTTTCTTCTGTTTAGGTGTTAATGATGAATGACGGTTTACGTTTGACTTTCCTGTAAACCCCATTTCCCTCCGCCGATTTCTTACAGTTCGGTCACAAACTGTGGCTCCTGTTTCTGCCCAATTGTCTTTCATTTGTTTTGTACTTTTTCTATTTTCAAGGCATATTGCTTTGAGTTTTCTGTCCTGGCGTTTGGGTGTCTTCCTTCATCTACCTGTATGTTTTCCTTTTATAACCTTCCCATTTAGTTTGTACTTGCTCGCTTGTTTCACCTGACAGCTCTCTTGTTGGGGTCATGTTTCCTGTCAATCAGTCAGTCAGGTGCAACAGCCTGTTAAGGTCTGCAAGCACCTCTAATTTAACTGCAGACCAATTTTCCTAATTAGTCCTGTGCAGGTATTTGTTTCAGAAATGCAAATTACAAGGTGATTCCAGAATTTCTTGCTCAACATAAAGTGATTCTATATATTTTTTTCCTTTACTTGATCTAAAAAAGATGTGCCATTAATTGCAACAATGTCACTTTATTTTTTGGAGGTATGTTTTACAAAGCCAGAATGTTCAGCTCTTAGGTAAAATGGTTTTGTGTCATATCTGTGATTTCTTTTATGGACTACAGAGGAAAACAACTGACTGAACATCCTCCAAGAGTACTGATTCCATATTTTTTCCCGGGGGTTGTATAACGTTGTACAGTAATGCCTTGAGCTGCATGGTTTGGCTGGACCTGCTCCGTAAACATCAGAGTGTGTAAACCCCAGAGGGGATGCCATTCAGTGAGTGGCTAGCAGGAAACAAGGATCTGATCTTTTGGTCTTTTTGTTTGTTTGTTTTGTTTTTAAATTTAACCTGCATATATGGAGAATATTCTACAGAACAGTATTATAGTCTTTGCATATATGAATGTATGAGGGTTTGGGATCTGTCTCCATATCTGGAAGGTTATGGTTTGGGTTTGAATCCCATAACCAGAAAATAATTATTCTATTCTATTCTATTCTATTCTATTCTATTCTATTCTATTCTATTCTAAAGTCAGATGTTTCAGTGACCAGGTACATATATCCCCAAATGAAAGGTGTCACCAGTATCTTACATTTTTATCCTTCATACATCGTGTTTTTTTCAGTTCTTTTAAGAACCTGAGATATCTGTATTTTTTTGTACCTGAGATTTATTTACTTGATGAAGAAACCTTATATATATATATTTTTTTTTTAATAAAATCAATTTACTGGAAACAAATTCTAAGAATTTAAATGTACATCTATAGCTAATTTAAAAAAAAACCTCTAAACTCTACATCTGCAGCAAGCAAAAAATCCAGCCTTACATACCTTCGTAATCTATTATTTTAAGCAAAAAAGTTTGTTTTACAAATATTTACACGCAGTGGTAGCATGCATTCCTTACATCTCCAGTTTTGGACGTTTGAAAGACATGCGCTTAGATGAACTGGCATGTTGAATCCGCCCACGGTGGGTGTCCCCTGCAATGGAGCTGGCATCCTGTTCCGGGTGTCCCACTGCATGGTGTCCTCTCCTGCTGGGGTTAGAGCCCAACACCCCTCCTCTTTTAGTACAGTGACTAATCATGAATACTCTAGGTTAGATATTATTGAGACTACCAGCTCAAATCTTTAGCAAGGCCCCTAATCCCATCTGCTCTAGTCGCGTTGGATGCTGGCTGACCTTGTGCTCAGTCCTCAAATCTTACCTAAAACTATTATCTTTCTTGCAAACTGATACCCCTCAAAATTCTGTGTTTTAATTCAACAAAGGCATTCTTCTCTCCCAAGGGAAGATCATCTGCACATGCTGCATGCGCTCGTTGTTGTTGTTGTTTAGGGGTGTATTAATCTGAATAATCCAGCTCACTGGAGGTGTGTCGGGCTGTTCCACTGGCACCTGTCACTTTTTTGTCACAGAGGCAGTCCTTGTCCCCTAGAGCAGTCGGTCGCTGGCAGGAAGGGCTTCTTGCGTTACGATCGAGCAGAACCCTGAGTGAGACACGCTCGTCCGCTGTAGATACCTTCCAGCGGTGACGATCCTTACATGACCCCCAACCGGACATTAGATCTAAAAGTGACGGCAGAGTGCACCCGACCGCTCCAATGCAACCATGGAGAACTTTTTCAAGGGCACAGACTTCTGGATTGTAAGTGGCGCCTGTCTTGTAGCCTCCTACCTGTGGTACAGGTTCTGGAATTTGCTCATCTACCAGAGGAACAGTGAGGCAGCTGTACCTCCAGAACTGCAGGTAGGCCCCCTGACCTCCTACTGCCCCATAAGTGCATGTTCCACTGCATCAACTCCATATGCGACGGCACATAGTCAGGGTTTAAGAGGAGTGTCACGGGAGAAGCTGCGATGCTTCATGTAGGCGCTCAAAGCCACATTAACGGCGCTTAGCAGATCATCTCATAGTCTCAGTGAATTATGTGTCTCATCTTCTGCCAGTTTGGATCTCTTGCAAAACCAGCTTCCACTTAACCTTGACATTATTTATCATTTCCTTTGCTGTTGCAGTTTTAAGGTAATCAAACTGCCGCAGAATATCTTGATCTGCTTTTCACTCATTCATACCAGTTGTATATACAAATCTCTATTAATTAATCACTTACAGAGCAATTAAAAATTAACTCCAGTGTATATATTAAATCCTTTTTATGTATGCAGGTAGAAAAAAGTGCTCCAAATGAATAAACTGGGAATCGCATATATTAGTCAATACATACAGTGTTAAGACGACAAGAAGTTGCCAGCATTTTAAATGAAAAAGACACTTTTTTCCGTTGTTAGGTTGTTTCCTTTTTGGTTTTCTATTTCCCAGATAATTGCTGGCTGTTTTAAGTCGCACCTTTTACCGGTGACTTATTGACATACCAACACCCAGGAATAGAACGCTGATTCCTAGATAGCAGCGTACTCCATCCAACATGCGATAACAGCTGCTCCCACTTCCAGAACTGCGGTGTTGATTTGAACTTCAAAGGTTAATGGAGACATAGCACCAAAGGCTTCTTCTGCTACAGTCACTTTTGGCTCCAGAATATCTTACAGAAATGGACAGATGTAGTGACCTGTAGCAAATGCAGTTACTGCGACAACTGTGTTTATTTTTTCCACGTGTTTAGCAGTCCATCAGGAGATGAATGAAAGGATGCAAGTATACCTAGCAAAGAAGTCGCACTGGAAAATGTCTGTCTTGCCAGTGGAAAGTTTATGTTTATATGCTTAATCTACACTGAAGGGACTGCATCCAATTTCATCGTACTTTGTAGGATGACAATAAAGATTCTAAAGATTCTATTCTATTCAGGTCCAGAAAGTACAAATCCAGACCAAGGTGTGTTTGTTTCAATCAACCAGCTGAGTACTCTGTGACTGTAACTCTTTATACTCCCAGTACACTGTAGCTATGATGGCTTAATTAACAAAGAGTACACAAAACATTTAACACTGCCATGTCTTCATTGAACAAATGGTTTAAAGAACCAAGGTCACTGATAGAAAAATTATTATTAATTTCATTAGTATACTCCTGTGTGCACCGTTTTAGACAAGTGTACTGTACACCACTTACGTAATAGATAATTATGGTTTCAAGTACTGTAGGTATACAATGGCCTGGTACTGTATGTATATCCTCTTAATAATTGTGTTTACATCCTATCCACATTTTAGCCACTATGGTGGGTACGGCTGCTGGGTTTGTTGACATTGTTGCAGATGCAGATAATAATGTAAATAATTAAGACTTTATTTGTTTATTTAAAGGATCAAAATAATAGGTCATCTGAAGGATTATTCATTTCAGGAACGGTTTCATTTCATTTCATAATATTTTGGGCACCAAATACCTACTGGACATATGTCATCATTTTCTATTAACATGGCAGATTAAATTACAGTTACAATTACGTAATTGAAAGTGATCAAAGCATGCACAAAAACCTTGTAATTCTAGGTGCAAAGGATTATACATTTTTAAGCAGAGTTTTGTTTTTATTTTTTCCATACAGCAATCCTATTGCTGTTAGTGTATTTCCTTTTCAAATCAAATCAAATAAACTGGATCAGGGGCGTTGCTAGAGATTTTGGGCCCCATGAAAGAATATCAAATTAGGCCCCCCAGTCCAAACCAATCCAGTTATTTTCCTAATTTTTTAGGGCCCCTGTCGCTCAGGGGCCCTTGGAATCGTCCTAGCTTTCCTCCACCTTACGGCGCCCCTGAACTGGATACATTAAGAATACTATGTGTCAGGCTTCAGTCTGTCGTAAGGTTATCAAGTGGGTCTCCATCCATCCATCCGTTTTTCATACCTGCTTGTCCTGTGTGGGGTTGCGAGTGTCCATAGCCTATCCCTGAAGCTGGGGGGAGAAAAATATCTGTAAGGTCATCATGATTCAATCGTTGTAATTTTTAAAAAAAATTAATAAATCCATCTGATTTGCTCAATAAACTTAATCAATGAAGATGTATATGTTTTTTGAACACATGGTTATTCAAGTGAAATGATTGTGTAATTTTAATTTGTAGGTAGTTTTGATTACAGTGCTCACTTATTAATAGGTTTAGGTGATAGAGCTGCACAAATGGTTGTTCTAATCAGTGTCTGGGGTATGTGGTTCCTGAAAAGGATCAGGAACTTTTAAGGTCTTTCTGTAGATGATTTAGCCTAGAAGATCTATGGGTGCTTTTCCACCGCACCAGGTACCGTACTTTTGGTACTTCCATAAAGTACCAAAAGTATGGTACTTCTTTTGTGTCGGTTTTCCACTGGTGTGAAAACTGGTACCGGCACCAAATGACATCATCAGTGACCGCCCCTGACTGACATCATCACAAAGTGTGACGCGGTATTTCTTTTGCTGAATTCAAACATGTTATTATTATCCTTCACTTTCCTGTAGTCCTGCTTAAGTTTTTTGATTTTCAAGCGGCATTGTTCAGTGTTAGCGTGTACCCCATTTCTTCCAAGCGGCTTGCTATTACGGCAAATACTTTTTTATTTCGAGTCATGTCATCCAAATCCTGCTGGATCTGTTCATCCGACCATATGGCGATTAAAGCCTGTGTTTCCTCGTTTGTCCAACCTTCCATT